TCACAGCAATTGTCTGAATTGAAACGAGCACGAAAAACAGAAATTGCTTTTGAACCGTCTATGCTTCATCTATAAGCAGCTTTCTATAAATTTGTTGATCACTATAAACATATAGAAGTGAGCTATGTCAGGTATACAGAAACATAGCATATTTGAGTTGCATTTACAATATGAAACAATAGAACTTTATGAGGAACTGTTGATTTAGGTTAACTACTTGCCTCAACAAAACATTAGGCAGTTACTCTTTCTCAAGAAAAGAAAACAATAGGCGGTTACTCTAAAATATAAGCAGCAGTTCTAGTGGAAAAACTCAGACATATATACAAAAGGAAATCGACTCCAAGATTTCCAAATTACCTTGATAATGCGCAGAACACGAGAAACACTTTGTTTGATCAACCGCTGCTTAAATTCTTTGCAATACATGAGGCCGACGGTTTCAACATATATCTCAACATCCTCACAATCATCAATTTCAATGCAAGGAAAAACCGGCTGCTGTTCTGATATTTTATTAGCAAAATAACTGCTATTTTCTACCAGAATATTCTTGTGAACATTCAACTTCACAGTGAACCCCTGCTTTCCTAGCAAGATTACCCTGAGATCACTAGTTCCCGGTTCACCAAACTCAATCGATACTTTCCTTGGTACATTTTCAACCTTTGATGGAGGCGTTCTCTCTGCAGGCACCGATGCACTAACAACAGGTGTATCAGAACTAACACCTCTTTTGTCATCAGAAACAATACCTGACTTAGGTGCTGCACTAGCCGGTCTTTTCTCAGTTACTGAAGTATGTTTCTTGTGAACCGGGGTTTGGGTTGTAGGAACAGGAGATTTGGGCTTGTTTAAAGGATTCTGTGTTTTGAGGCTCTTCTGAAACACATTGGGAGAGGGACAACACCAGAAACCCTCTGGGGTCACAGCAATTGGAACATTCCTAATTTTGGTTTGGCCTTGTTCTACCTTTCTAACTCTAATTTCAGCCATTCTTGGCAAAACTCAAAGAATAATTAATTCACTTATATGACATTTCCAGTGAAAACAAGAATGTGGACACCTAATTAAAGACTAAACAATGGCTTCAAAATCCGCTATATGTTATCAAGTTGAAAACTCAAAGCTAAGAAACTCTTCGATTACAAGAATGAACATATCAGGATTATGACAAAACATCAATTGTACTGAAAAACTTACAATAAAGAAAAAAAAGTTTCTTTCTTTATTAATCTGAAAGAGGACAGCAAACAAAAGATTAAACCTTTAACAGTATAGGTCTCAAGAAACAAACACAATTACAAAAAAGAAAGAATTTTTGAAACTCACCAGTCCCAAGAGCTTCTTAAAAAGCAGGAGAAAGGGATTCTTGAAACACCCAACTCGAGGAAATTGTTAAAGAAAAGAACAAACACTCACCTACAAACAGAAGAGCTATATCTGAGAATTTTTTGAAACTCAATATCTATCTTTAATTTTAAGAGTCCAAGAGAGCCACTGAAAATGATTGAGTGTAGCTTTGATGTCAAGCATCAAGGGAACCACTAAAACAGAAGATTTAACAGAGTGGAATGATGAGTTCCTATATGTATGTTTATATATATTTTGGAATTTTAAATTAAATAAAAAAGAATTGGGGTCCAAATGAAATAAAGAAAACACGACACAAAGCGAGAGTGATGGCTTATGCGCTGTGTTTTGCAACTTTATCGCTTTGTCTCACTGATGATGCTTTTCTTTTTTTTCTTTTCTGTTTTAATGACACTGTACTTGTGGGTCTGAGAATTTTATCTTTTCTCTCTCACACACACACACACAGTAAGAGGAGACGCTCTTTGTCTCTCTACAACTGAATGATCAAACGAGACAGGCATGCATTTGGGTTGTCTTCTCAAAGTCCTAATCTTGCTTTTGCTTTTTTTGTTTTTTCCTTCCTCATTTTCTTTTTTAGAAAAAAAGATTTTCTCGGTTTGCTTTTCTGGGTCTTTGCAGGATTGATTCTCCTTAAATTATTAGCAATATAAAAAGAATAGGAATTTTGAGAAAAGGAAATCACTATCGTTTTCAAACAAAACATGTACATTGAAGTTAACGAAATGACAATATTAGCCTCGAAGCATCTCCAAAAGTAAGATTATAAGAACAGATGTAATAATCCTAATCGAGTTTAAGTTTTATATATGTGTAAAATTTCTCATTACTAATTAAATTGACTTTGAAATCAAGATTTTTATTAAGGGATATCAAAATATAAAAAAATTAAAAACATAAAAAACTACCAAAATTCAATAATATAATAAATATGCATAAAATAAATAATTTCACCTAGTAACACTGAGTAATTTTTTGATAAATTAAAGGAGAATTTTTTTTTTTTTGGTTTCCCACCCGGTGTCCGGTACCTGCATTGGAGCCCGACTATATCCGGATTTGCGCCGCGTAGGGCCCCATTCGGGGGGAAGCGCTCCCTACCAAGGATTTTTCCATACTGAGGGCTCGAACTCGAGACCACTGGTTAAGGGAGGAGCAGTCTCATCTACTGCACCACATCCTTTGGTGGTAAGGGGTATCATTTAAACGTGACTCCGACACAGCCTACAAATAACTTCGTACCAAACCTAATATAGTAAACCTCGTAAATAATATAACAACCTACTATATCTAGTTAAATTACACAATCAAGTAGCAGTGTATATAACTAAAATTTCAATTGTTTTTGTTTTGTTGTTGTGGGGGAGGGGGGGGGGGGGGGAGCGGTAATTTGGGCATCTTGATGTTGAAAATGGTACACAACTTTGCCGTAGGGATAAAGGAAAGAAATTAATGGATGGAACTCCAAGAAGTGGACTTATATGGGGTACCATTAATTTTTCCTTTTATTAAAAGCATCTTTGATTCTTGACTATTGAAATCTGCATGTGGGTATACGTGAAGCAAAGCTTGGCATTTCTAGTTTTGTGCCCTTTGTTTAATTTGTTGAAAATAGCATTAGTTGTTTTCTTTGTTTCCCGTATTGGTATTGAGTAAGTTTTGACCAAGGGAACTTAAGCATTTAGCATAACAAGAGAGAGGTATTTAAAGTTGACAATATCAAAACTATAGTTTTGGTTTCTTTTTCTAACTTTTTTTTGTCTCTACCCACTAACTACTAAAGAGTAAAGTCCCTAAAAATTAATTATTATTTGGATTGTATGGAGTAATTGACATAAAGATGACTTTTGTCATGATTGGAGTTTAGCCAACAAACTCACTACTCGACGAATATTATTGCCAGTAAACATCAGTTACTGTTTAATCTAGTTGTTTATCATAGTGGAGTGGGGCTAGCAACTTGGCGCTTAACTGGGATAGAATCATTGCATACGTTACTACTAGGGGCGGAGAAATGGTTTTAAAAAAATATTTAACCACCCATATTATCCATTAAAAAATGGAATGGATAATGAATTTTTTAAGAACGGGTCAAACATAGATAAAATACATATTATTCATTTAGAAAATGGTTAAGTATTGAGTTTAACTTTTACATTTGTAAAGCTTCAAATTAGGGATTCCTCAAGTTTGGGACTCATATATATTATCCGCCGGTTATCCCACTTTCTATCCGTATTAAACATGGGTTGGTTAGATAATTTATCGTTTTTTCATTACCCATTTTGACTCGTTCCATATCCGACTTGATCTGCCTGTTTGTTACCCCTAGTTACTATGACTCATTCCCCAACTACCTTAAAAAGTAAAAAATTACTTATCAAATAACCTATTTAAATCTTAGCAGTTAGTAAAAAATAAAGTGAGATCATAAATCAATAGGACAATGCAATAGTGAAAGAGGGTGCAATGCAATAGGGCTTTTAAACTTTGTTTCCAAGGAATTAATATCAAAAGAAAATTGGAGAAGGGGACCAATGTTATCTTTAGGAACATGCGCTATGGCTTGTTGTGAAAGTGCAATTATAGGATGTGCAAAGTGATGATGACTATGTGGGTATATGCACACTTTTTTTATATCCTTTATAACAATTTATTATCACAATCAAGTTTATTTGGGAACCACTTTTTCATGTTATTGTTATAAAAAATAAAAAAAATATGATTGTAGTTAGAGAATGAGAAAAATGTAGCAACATGTCCTCATCATGAATAGCAGTGTCCAAAAAGAAGTCCATACCTAAGCCTACGCATATATCACTTTGATATAATATTGACCCCATTTATTGGCATTTTCTATCATTCTAATTCTAATTCTAATTCCTTTGTATGCTCCATGTGGGGAGTGGTATCTTACAAAATCTGTGTGCCTCACTTGAAAACAGCCTTACTTAACCCCATCTTCATCGTGGGAATGGACTTTGTTTAAGAATCTGATGATATTCCTGAGTTGGCGGAGGACATTCTTTTGTTTATTAGCCAATTATTTTTTTTTTAAAATACCCAAGAACATTGCCTTTCTTTGTTTTCAATTTTAAACATCTTGAGATCCCAAATCTATTTTTGATAAATAGTTGTTCTTCTTCTAATTGAATATATTCAAAAACCATGTAAAATAACCCAAAAACTATGAAATTTAATTTCAAAACAAAATGTTGGCGTTTAAATTAGCGAGAGGACATAAAATTACACTTAAATAGCAATATCACCATTATTAAATATTATACTACCTGTTAACGCAAGAATTAAAGGAAATTAAAACTGCTATTGTTTCTTTGTTCTCTAAAGAAAAGGTAGTGCAATTAGTTTCTTTTATAGACATGGATGAAAGAAAGTCAAACATGAAAATTTGGTGAAAGGGAATAATTCCAATTCTTGAAAAATTATTAGAGAGGACAAGTCCTTATAATCCTGTTGACAGTTTAGCTTGTTTCTCTCACTAGATTTGTCATTTACTCGAACGCCATGGAAGTCAATAGAGAAAGCATGTTTCGAGGCCAACATATATTAACTAGTGATTCATGTAAAAAAAAAATTAACAAAAAATTATCCATAACACAGAGAGAAACAAACAAAGGTAGATGCAAAAGTCCCAGTCAACATTTCATGACATAATAAAATAAACTTTGTTGTTATTAATGAAGAGTAGGACAACTTTTGCTGAATTTACTCTTAGATGGATTGTGCTAAGAAACTGCAAAAGAAAAGTCAATGCTTTACGTGAATAACAATAGATCCAAACATGGAAGCTGAATCATCTTCTCAAAAACCTCATATGCAAATGGCAGTATCAAGATTTTCAGTTTCTAGCTGCTCTTCTCTTTTAATGGCTTTCCTTTTTGCTCTGTCTGCCTCTTTCCAATTCAATGACCCTGGTAATCCTGTTCTATTTTCTTATTGAGAACTGAAATTCCAAAGTGTTTCATCAGCAGGTTTCTCATAGAGGGGTTTTCCTTGGTTTCAGATTGGTATTTGTGGTTTCCTCTATATGCAATGGCTTGCCTTGTCAACGTGGTCAATGGAGTCCCTAAACTCACAAAAACAGCCAAAATTGCACTCTTGTTGGGAATCATCTTATTCCTCAAAGTTGTCATTGAAGATGTTCGTTTTCATCAAGGAATAACTGGACTTTGGTCATTAGATATGAGGGAGAGAGTTGTCAGGGAAAAGCTTGGAAGTGGACTTGTTATTCTTTCCATGTCTTTAAGACTACTAAAATCAGACACTGATAATCCCTCACTTGCAAACCATGTTAAATTTGGTAATTTTCCTAAATGTCTTTTTCCTAGTTTGACTCTCATATGGTTATTAGTTTTTGCTTTTTATTTTATTGATTGTCCACCATGTCATGCATCTGCTTTTCTATTGCAGGACAATCAATGTTGGTTGCAATAGGTTATGGCCTGTCCGTTGCTTTCTTCTTATTCTCAAAGCCAGAAATGAAGTTTTAATCTCACTGTCCTCTTCCCTTTTGTAAATACAAGTAATAACAACTCCCACAGTGTACTCATCCTTCACATAAAGTATATACTGTCCTCTTTGAACAGCAATTTGTAGAGATTCAACATCCTAACTGTAGGGGTTCTTTGGGGGAAGGGGTTTATCCTTATTGTGATAATGATAATAACCCCAGGGTTTACCATACGGACATTTCTGATTATAATGGAGTTGCTACAGAGGAAGAAAAATGAAATGGGAAAAGCTACAAAAACCTATGATGGTAAAATTCAATACTACATCACAGACGGGTGTGACAAACTAGGTCACAGAAAACCCATTTGATATTTGCCAAGGAAACCTAAGGACATTTACAAACTTTTCGCTTCCTGCAAGAAACACACCAGGCCTCTGCATTCCAATCTCTACAGATTTTTATTGCATGACGCTTTGAATGCACAACATGTTAAGAAGAGGATTTAGTAAAGACGTCCCCTGCAATTGGAAGATCCACACAGGCATGGAGACCCTTCTCCAGGCAATAGTTTGTATCTGTAATTATAGGTCAGTTCTTCACCTGCAAGTATCTGCTCAAGAAGTCGAGGGGCCACAATGAGTCAGAGAAACAAAAGGCAAAGTGAAGAGGGGGAAAAACGTATCAGAGCCGTAGAGTAAAAATTTACCCTCACCCGTTGTTCACACCAAATCAATGATTGGAAGACACTTGTCTTGCATAACCCACACTTATCAGTTAATCATGGTTAATTGGCATGTATTCTTTCTTAATTTTTAATTCCTATGGTTAAATTGCATGATTTGGTGTAAGCACCAGGTGCAGGTAAGTTTTAGCAAGATGAATTCAAGTACCCAAAATTTCCAGTTCAACAAATAACGCAAGGACGAACAGTGATCTTATCTTTTCAAAATCTTAGTGATCATAAAATTGTGCATGGTTACTGGACCAATATCTACCAAAGAGGAGAGAGAACATACATCTCGACTTGCATAAAAACCAACGTGTGCAAGCTGATAATCCATGCTTTCCACAAGAACTTGGTAATTCACGAGATTCGGCGAGCAACTAAAGTAGCAACAAATAAGAAACCAAAACTTTGTAAGAAATTTACTGAAAGCAATGTGAAACAAAATTACACACCAACTCATCACCAACAGCAGGAAACACAAATCAGATGCAAAAACTCGGCACAATCATCAAATAATTTTCAGTTATATATATTTAATTCTCTCAGCAATACCCAGGTGGGAGCACAGAAAGGCAGAAGAGAGAAAGAGTTGTAGAAGCACCCAATGATCACCTCAATAACCTAATGTTTTAGAACAAATTTAGCGGAATTGAAAACAGAAATTATGCATTGTACACAGTTGCAGCAAACAAACTGATCACTAGAGTATACTGGCCGAGCAAATATTCAGAACATAAAAGGACAAACAAACAGTTAATTAGTTAGTGTATCTTCATTGTGATGGTATTCTTGCAGACTACTTAACAGTGCTTTAGGTAAAAGAAGACCTTCTTTCTTTATGCCAAGTTGGAGTAGAACTTAGTAGAATTTTTACTAGTAACTGAATTTTGATTCTCTTATTGCAATAAACATATTTATTGGCTTAATGTACTGACCATTTTAAGTGCCATTTGGCATTATAAAGCATTTTTGAGTTGAGATATTCCATCTCATACAAAAAGTTGTAAAGTATTAGTATCCCACATTGGTTTGTGCATGAGTTGTAATCTCCTCATATGGTCTTGGACATTCCCACAACTTGGGCTAGCTTTTGGGGCGAGTTCGATCCAAGATCCATATTCAGACCATTCGTATCACAGCCGCTTCTCAAAGTTGGTTCACCAATGAATCATGATATGTTACTTATCACTCCAAATATCCAAGCTCCGGCCCACGTTGGTTAAGTGTACTAGGATGTAGTCCTCTTGTATGGTCTTGGACAACCTCACCACTTGAGCTAGCTTTTGGAGTGAGTTAGACCAAGGTCCATTTTCTCAACAAAAAGAATGGACCAAAGTAAGCGAAAGCAGAGGGAAGAAGAGGAAAAAGAACATGGAATGAGCTTAATCAAGGATCTAGTTAACCTCGGGTCAAGCTCAACCGTTAGCAAGGAGAGATTACTTACTTTTTTTACAAGAATGATTTCACCCATAACATATTGATGAATTCCTTATCAAAGACATGTTTGCATGCTTAAAAATGTGATACGTTATAGAATTCCAAAACTCAAGTAAAAGCTAGGTAAGTCTTACTTATTTGATAAACTCAAGGGCAAATATACAGGGGTATCTCCATGTGATGGTATTTTATCTATGTTGACAAGCTCGACATTTTCACATTTTGTATCAGATTACCACAAACAGCTTACTAAAGATATACATTATAAAGAAACGTAGCGTTTTGTTCATGCCCATAGGCCATAACGTCATCTATCCTAGGACTATTTCAAAACATTGTGCCTCACTATCCATGCCGACGTTACATCAAAAATACATTTTTCAAGCCGCTGATTAACTTTACAATCAAATCTAAGAACTTCATTAGCAACTGCTATCACCTGCTTACTGATTTTGATGTATTTATCATCAAGATATAGTTCAGTCAACCTTTATCTGTGAATGAATGCGTGGGCTGATAAATCAAGCTTGAAGCTTTATTCTTGTCATTACTTAAACAAGTTAGCCAAAAATGCAACTAACCTGGTCTTTGCCTTTACTTTTACACTATTATAGAAGCTGATGTCCAAATATAATGCAAATTGACACAGTTATAACCACATTGAAATTAAATCAAATCAAGAAGAGAGTTGCAATAGTACCTGTGGTTGATGTAACGGGAAACGTTTCCATAGTTAGTAGCATCAATTACATATGGCGCTTGCCCTTCAATCAGTCTGCTCATATCATTGACGTGAGCATCTATCTCCAAGATGTACCCGCAACCTTCTCTGCCATACCTACTCAAATAGGACGGAGCCAGATATAAATAAGGTGCAATAAAATGCAACAAAGCAATTTACCAAGTAGAATGTGTGCCAACCTATTGCGTCTTTTATTTGCTTCCTGCTCATCAAGTACCTCTCCGACATATTCACACACAAATGTCCCGCGAAGGATTGCTTCTCTTGCCCTGACTGCCCATCCCTGTGAGCCAAAATGGTAAATAGCTAGAGAAACTAACCTCTTGATAGTTTCAGATCAGAGCATTACCTTTGTCTCGGTTTTGTATATTTCTAGCTTCACACGCAATCCATTCTGCAAAACCCGATTCTGGCAAGATTTACTGCAAGAGCACCATTGATTGCATTCATAGACTAGGTAGCCCTCCTGATAATGAAGTTAGACAGTCAGGCAGCAATATGCTAATCGAATCAAGCACATCCTACAAAATTTCTAACATCATGTATGGTGATTGTAGTTACACTCTCTCAGCCAACACAGTTATCAGACAAATCCAGGTTATTGAGCAGAAGATAGTACACAAGGCATCCTAGAGTAAGTAAGTATCAGCAAAAATCACTAAAGAACTACGTAAGTCACAAGAATATGCAACACTAATCAAAAGAAAGTATCTTTTACCTCCAACATTATCCGACCTCTCTCATCATACGGGAACCTTCCACACATAGGCTTCCCATAAATATCTTTTGCGTCCTCGTAGTCATTATCAAAAAGATAAATATGATTACAAGTTTGAGAAGAGCATGCTGAATTTGGACAAGAACACCCCAATTGGTAACTCTGCCGTAAAATAGAAAAAACTGATTTAGAGAGGAGAGAGAGTGAGCGAGAGAGAATTTAACAACTTAAGATTATGAAAACCACTTGTTCTGGTGCTTGGCCGGATGAAATGGAAGTTGCATGGCTACTAGAAGTCAAAAGAAGTTACCCCTATTTCAAGACCAACGGATTGATCAATCAACGATTTGGTTACATAAGTAAAGGTCTCCCAAGGAAGAGAACTCGTGGAAATTTGGCCATCGGAACCATCAGCAAGAATGTGGAGGGAGGCAAAAAGATTTTCTTCCACCACACACGTTATCGGAACTGATTCCTGTTCAAAGCTTATGTCATCACACAAGAGAATAGTTTTGTCGGACGGTTCATGCTTGAACTGTTGAGAATCAATGACGTAGTGACACTCATCCATTGTCCACTCACTTATAGTGAAATTTGGTCGAATACTGCTGGTTCTATTCACTTGACCAGGAAGGGGAAGTAATGAGGATACTATGCAAGGATCACGAACAGGTGTACATCCTTTGGGGCAAATGAAACCATCTTGGTGCCAGCTTACAAGGATATTCTGCTCACTACACAATTTTGCTGCTTTGAGATACATGCGCTCCGGCAAAATTCCATAGGTTGCTTCTAGTGAGGCTTGGAGGCTAACTTTACAGCAAGTAATCCGAGCTATTGATAAGATGTCTAAGTTACTTGGCCGTGGCTTTGTTCTCTTAATCTCAGCAAACAGTATCTTTGCAATATCCAGGCAGTGGGGATCTGCCAGTCTACCTAGACCAGCTGTCTTGGTTGCACTAGGTTGAATCATAGATTTTCCACTAATCATGGAGTTTGATGACAAGATGCGTCTCTTCATATTCTGAGCATTTCTGTTCCTAATCCTATATGCTATAGATCCGAGACCCTTCTTGAATTTCGGACGGCTAAGTCTTCCTGACTTTAGTTTATAAGCATAGAAACGGATGCCTCTCTTTGAGATATGAGAGCCAACAGAATTAGGACCCATGTGAGCAGCCTGATGATGGCGGCCTAGATCAGGTAACAAGTCAAATTTCAGGCCACAAAATCTGCAGATGAATTTTCGGAAACCAGACTGGTTCTCAAAATTAATATTCGGTGCAGACACTGACTTGCCAATATCAGGCTTCTCTGACGAATCTTGAGTTACGGAAAAATGATGCTGTTGAGCAGTATGAGACAACCTAAAACTGGCAGGATGTGCGGCGAGCACGTGGGACCATAACTCCTCTGAGTTCCCAAAATTGCT